CCCCCCCCCACCATCGACAGGAACAACGAATGTTCATGTATGGAAAGATCAGGGAAACGTAGCTTTTTTAAGAGCATCCGAACAAAGGAATAAATGGAGAACCTTGATCGCCGATGTCTGTCACTGGATGATGATGCACCATAACTTGACGATAAAGCTGCCCAGTGTATGCCCCAAATATTCCTCCATTTTCTCGTGACAGTTGTGAATTGCTACAACATCTATGGGACAGGACTATCCCAGTCCCGCGGAAATATCGGCTGTAATCATAGACAAATACCGGTAGCCGCCGACCGCACCAGTCTGTCGAATCATTGACCGACAATTTCTCTACATCTGTACAAATTTCTTGACAGCGATTTTTCCTGTCCAAATCACACGTCGATGCTGAAGACTACATGAGTCACTTGAGAGTAGCGGGCAATAAAGAGAGAGCAGAGAAAGAAGAAGATACAAAAAAGATGACCACATCAGAGCACCCGCCAACCACCCACCACAGCAGAGCACCCGCCAACCACCCATCACAGCAGAGCACCCGCCAACCACCCATCACAGCAGAGCACCCGCCAACCACCCATCACAGCAGAGCACCCGCCAACCCCTTGAGAAACAACAAGTGTCAAGTTTCATCAAAAACATTTTTGTTTTTATTGCATCCAAAGCGGACAGAAAACACGGACTGGCTTCATCAACACACAGCCAATGAACAAAATCTGAACCATTTTAAAAATCCATTATCAAATATACAAGCTCATTGTTAATCCTAAAATAAATAGAAATGTACATAAATACATGACATCTGTTCTAAAAATTTCAGAACTCCCAATTTTAAAAGAGAGATAAAAAATCAAAGCATTATTAAAACTGGGAACTAAAACATATCGGCCGACCCCGGAACTGATCAGAATTGTCGTGTACACAAAGCCAAGATGGCAGACAATTCAAAACGTATATCTCCTGTCTCCAACCACAGACCCACAAACGGTGACAGCCGCGAGCATCCACTTTCCTGATCTAGGTGTACCAGAGTCAATGTATTATATTACACCAGGAAAATGTCAATAAATCGGTCAAAGTACCTGCGGACCCCCCCCCCCCCCCGGTACAATACTTCTGGCAAGGTATCAGGTCAAGGTCACACAAACTAGACCACTCCGTCCTTGAGGATCTGCGACATCAGAGTCTTGTCCTTCAGCGTCTGCTCCAGCTCGTTTTCATCCAACTTGAGAGACACCTGGATAGACAAACAATTCTACCTTAATTCACAAAAGCTTCACAGCACACAGAACATACAATTCTACTTTTAGTTTTAGTAAGTTTTACGGCACTCGCAACAAAATAAGGTCTTATAAGTGCTGAAGTTTAGATGTGTTACAAGAGAGTAACAAACACAAAAAAGAAGGACGGAGAAATGTTTGATAGGAAACAAGGAGGCAAACCATACTAGAGCACCCGCCAACCACCCACAATTCTACTTTCGTACACAAACCCTCCACAGTACATAGACACACAGGCTTGATTGTAGTTTCAGAAAAATATAACTTTACGTATGTGCAAACTGTTGGAAATGTTCTAACTTTGGTTCAATCGGGATGTCCGACCCGTCACTCTCAGCCTTGCGGTCTGGCCCTAGATCTAAATTCTACGTCTGATCAATCTGAATCGCCCTAAACTCTAGCTACAATGTTTCCATCAATATCTGATTGTCATTTGCTTGTTCTTGCTCAAACCCATCGTCATTTCCTTATACAAACTCAATTTTGTCGCTTTTCAACAAGTAGAGACACCTTCCAAGTGTCGGAAACGCGACCACATTTCGATCGGCTCTAAAACTAAAACCACTAACCCGAGAAACTTCGTTTTGGTCAAACGGAAGGAGAAACATTTTGCAATGTATAACAAGGTTTAACAAAATCTCAGTCCCAGATTCTCGTTAAGGCGAGACTTCGTTTCTAAAGGCGCGTGGTCGGGGCCGGCGAGTTAGGGAGTAATGTGTTCACTCAAACCTTGACAGTCAGACAATATATTTGTTCACTATTCTCTCAAACACCGTCAGACAATATATTTGTTCACTATTCCCTCAAACACCTTCAGACAATATATTTGTTCACTATTCCCTCAAACACCGTCAGACAATATATTTGTTCACCATTCCCTCAAACACCTTCAGACAATATATTTGTTCACCATTCCCTCAAACAAACACCGTCAGACAATATATTTGTTCACTATTCCCTCAAACACTTTCAGACAATATATTTGTTCACCATTCCCTCAAACACCTTCAGACAATATATTTGTTCTCTATTCCCTCAAACAAACACCGTCAGACAATATATTTGTTCACTATTCCCTCAAACAAACACCTTCAGACAATATATTTGTTCACTATTCCCTCAAACACCTTAAGACAATATATTTGTTCACCATTCCCTCAAACAAACACCTTCAGACAATATATTTGTTCACTATTCCCTCAAACAAACACCTTCAGACAATATATTTGTTCACCATTCCCTCAAACACCTTCAGACAATATATTTGTTCACTATTCCCTCAAACACTTTCAGACAATATATTTGTTCACCATTCCCTCAAACACCTTCAGACAATATATTTGTTCTCTATTCCCTCAAACAAACACCGTCAGACAATATATTTGTTCACTATTCCCTCAAACAAACACCTTCAGACAATATATTTGTTCACTATTCCCTCAAACACCTTAAGACAATATATTTGTTCACCATTCCCTCAAACAAACACCTTCAGACAATATATTTGTTCACTATTCCCTCAAACACCGTCAGACAATATATTTGTTCACTATTCCCTCAAACACCTTCAGACAATATATTTGTTCTCTATTCCCTCAAACAAACACCGTCAGACAATATATTTGTTCACTATTCCCTCAAACACTTTCAGACAATATATTTGTTCACCATTCCCTCAAACACCTTCAGACAATATATTTGTTCACTATTCCCTCAAACAAACACCTTCAGACAATATATTTGTTCACTATTTCCTCAATCAAACACCTGCAGACAATATATTTGTTCACGTGTCGCTAAATCTCTGACCCACGAGCTGGATGTTTCACCTAACCGTACAGGAAGTGCCGCGAAACTTACCCGAATCATCCTGGTGTCCTTGGCTCGCTTCAAGGTCACGACGCCACGTGCCTCGAGGAGCAGACAGACGGACAGGAACTCAGTCTGGTCCACGGGGGCCATGTGTCGGCCACGACAAACTTTGGTGTACGCCTCGTGGAGCTGGGGAAGAGATAGAGTAGATGTTTGTTAGCTAGATGACACATTGACAGACAAACTTTGGTGTACAGGGGGAAGATAGAGTAGATGTTTGTTAGCTAGATGACACATGGATAGACAAACTTTGGTGTACAGGGGGAAGATAGAGTAGATGTTTGTTAGCTAGATGACACACTGACAGACAAACTTTGGTGTACAGGGGGAAGATAGAGTAGATGTTTGTTAGCTAGATGACACACTGATAGACAAACTTTGGTGTACAGGGGGAAGATAGAGTAGATGTTTGTTAGCTAGATGACACATGGATAGACAAACTTTGGTGTACAGGGGGAAGATAGAGTAGATGTTTGTTAGCTAGATGACACATTGACAGACAAACTTTGGTGTACAGGGGGAAGATAGAGTAGATGTTTGTTAGCTAGATGACACACTGATAGACAAACTTTGGTGTACAGGGGGAAGATAGAGTAGATGTTTGTTAGCTAGATGACACACTGATCGACAAACTTTGGTGTACGCCTCGTGGAGCTGGGGAAGAGATAGAGTAGGTGTTTGTTAGCTAGATGTTCCACGACAGACTGGTGTACGCCTCGTGGGGGGGAGATAGAGTAGGTGTTTGTCAGTTAGATGTTGACAAATTTGTAGATGTGGTCTATAAATCTAGTTGCTGACACATCCGTCGGTTGTTTCACCACACACACACACGCTAGCATTCACAGTCACACACATGCTAGCACTCAGTCACACACATGCTAGCACTTACAGTCACACACATGCTAGCACTCACAGTCACACACATGCTAGCACTCAGTCACACACATGCTAGCACTCACAAACAGTCACACACACATATGCTAGCACTCACAAACAGTCACACACACACATGCTTGCACTCACAAACAGTCACACACACACACATGCTTGCACTCACAAACAGTCACACACACATATGCTAGCACTCACAAACAGTCACACACACACATGCTTGCACTCACAAACAGTCACACACACACACATGCTTGCACTCACAAACAGTCACACATACACATGCTTGCACTCACAATCAGTCACACACACATACATGCTTGCACTCCCGTCACACGTATAGAACACAGTAGTCTCCACTAAATAAGCACAGAATGATCCGGAGGGCACCTAGGTGTGTGTTTACGCGGAGTGTGTGTTTCCATGGACCTGTGTCAAGGTGAAAAGAGACCATCTGATTTCCTTGATATTAGAACAGCAGACAGACCGAGATACTTGATTCAAATTTCTCAACACTCAGGAACCTAACTCCATTCCCTGCTTGCGACAAGTGACAAAAGAAAGACAGAAAGGTAAATCCATGCCACTCACCCGGCCCAGGAGAACTTCCTTGAGTCTCCCTGTCTTGACCAGCAGCAGCAAGGAACAGACGGCGATCTTCTGCTGCAGCGGCACGTCGTTCTCACTGCTACTGGCGGCGGCGACGCTCGAGCCGTACACGTCGCCCATCACCTTGGAGATGTGCACCAAGGTCACCTTCTTCACCGGGGGCTCCTGGCTCTTTTTGGACGGACTGTTGCAGTCTGAGAAAATACACACACAGGATTGTACACTGACACATTCCTGACACGAGATAACTACCCACAGGATTGTACACTGACACATTCCTGACACGAGATAAAACTACACACAGGATCGTACATTGACACATTCCTGACACGAGATAAAACTACACTCAGGATTGTACACTGTCACATTCCTGACACAAGATAAAACTACACACACAGGATTGTACACTGACACATTCCTGACACGAGATAAAACTACACACAGGATCGTACATTGACACATTCCTGACACGAGATAAAACTACACTCAGGATTGTACATTGACACATTCCTGACACAATATAAAACTACACACAGGATTGTACACTGACACATTCCTGACACGAGATAACTACCCACAGGATTGTACACTGACACATTCCTGACACGAGATAAAACTACACACATAGAATTAGAGACTAGTTTAGTTTTAGTTGAGGTTTTTTGCACTCGCAACTGAAAAAGGTCATATGAGCACCAAGGGGTGGATGTCAACAGAGAAGTCCTTACAGGGAATCAGACTTACTCTGCTCACTTCTCTAGCTTCAACAGCACAAAGTCTGCTTCGACTATCAAGGCACCCCGGAAATAGCGGGTCACAAGAGAGTGACAAACATAGAAAAGAAGTGGAGGAAAATGACGATAGTAAGGATGAAGAAAGAAAAAGCAGCAGTTCCTTGTAGTTCCGGCACAGTATGAGCATGACATTGATGAATCAGCCCATTTACAATTCCACTGTGCATAAGAACGTGTTAATGTACCCTCTTTGGGAAGACGATAGATTTTCAGTCACTACATTTCCAAACACACACGGTGAGTCTCAGGGAAGCCAGAACAGACTTGTGGAAACAGGAAGAGACGGAAGCCAACAAGTCGCTCCTCCAACTACCCGTACCCCCCACTCACCGGCAGGTTTGAGAACTTGCTGTGAGCGGACGTCGGCTTCCACCATCTCCACGGCTCTGCGACACACGTCCAAGGCCTTCCTGGCGTCTCCTGCCACCGCCGACACTTTCCTGGCACAGAACTTGATGGCGCTCGGCTCCACGAGAAGGCTCTGTCGAGTAAAACACACAGACGGAGGCTACAACACCTGCCAACATTGCCCGGGACAAAATCTGTAGTTGACCTAAATAATCTGTAGTAGGCTAATACCACTTGCCGCATACTTAATTGGGGACCCGTATTAATATTTTGACCCACACATTGTAGAAAATGACAAGAGCAAAAAACAAAAATTAGCAATGACAAGGAAAAATGAAATTTTTATCTGGCTTAAATGAAAGAAGAGTAAATTCTAAAAACTGAGGTTTTTAGATTTTAAAAATCCATTTATAAATAAAAAAGTTATTGGGATTTTTTGTTTCAAAATTTCACGGAACTTTCATAGAGGAAAATATAGCCAAAAAGTGGGACATGTCTTGATGTACTTTGAGGAAAAACTGTTCATAAGTCAGTAATGAGTTGGAGTATATGAACGAAACTTGGCATCTTCAGGTGACTTTTAGTGCAGAATCTAGTTCTGCTATCACTTTTTCTAAATCTGTCTTTAGATCTTTAAGACTAATATTAAGTTTGCGTGAAAATATGTTGAATTGCGCGACATCGCTTGAACTGTGGCCGATCACGCTCTACACCTTAGCAAAGCAGTATGGGGAAATCCCGCATGACGTCATTGGTAACCTGTTTAGCTTTAGCAGTTTTAACATTGTATTACTGTAAACCCTCTGGTTTTAAGCAGTCAATCACATGCCGTCTTGCGATCACGCGCCTCTTGCATGTCTGCGACGCCGGCAACTCGCGTGTGGGGTCCCTGATCTAGTTTCCAGCTCTAATGTTTTATCCAAGGATGGGAGATAATTTTAAATTGGTACGTAAAGTGTAGGCCTACAACACACAAAGATCTGAACTTTTCCAGCAATAAAGAAGACATGTGGGGCGCTTGTCGGTGGCTGATCTCTCAAAATTGGCAGTTTGACCAAAAAGTCGGTAATATACCAATTTTTTCTGTATGGTTGACAGGTATGTTCCTGATGAGATTGGGTAAGCCATGTTTACAATTTCCCTCTAGATCAGACGAGGCAAAATAAGAGATATGTTTACAATTTCCTTGAGGCAAAAAGACACGTTTACAATTTCCTTATTGAGGCAAGTGATACGTTTACAATTTCCTTATCGAGGCAAAATGACACAAAGACTTCACTGTATGTATAAAGCTCTCTGCGCCTTCCACCAGGGTTGGTGATTTTTTTTAATAAAAATAAAAAAAATCGATTTTTAAAATTTAAATCAGATTTTTAAAATTTAAATCAGATTTTTTTTATTTTAAAAAAAATGACACAGTTTGGGATTTTTGGTGGCTAAAAGTATGTTCTTTTAGTGCAAAATGCATTGTCTTTATTTTAACTAATGATTAATTTAAGCAACTGCAATTTTAGAAAGTCTTAATCTGCTATATCAGTGAATTATGGCTACAGACAAAAGAATGAAGAAAATGTCAGTCTAAAAGGAGGGGGGGTAATTATGCATAGATAAACTTGCATTTTATTTTTATTACAGTGTGTGTGTGTGAGCACGCGCTTGTGTTTGTCTAAAAAGAAAAAGAAAATGCTAATTTCAATTATGAAAAAAAAGTAAATTGAATACTGTATTGTTTCACTACTTACAGTGACAGGGGGGGGAGCAAACTTTTACGCAATTTTAGTCTACTAAATCTTATATCTGTTTTATAAAACCAAGGAAAGGAATTCTCAATGTTTAAAGATGTAAAAACAGAAAACATTTTTTTAAAGTGATTTCAATCACTGAGTTTTATTTTTTGAAATCAAGTTGATTTAAATTTTAAAAAATCAACTGATTTAAATCGACCCAATTTAAATCAACCCAACCCTGGTTTTCAATTATGAAAAAAAGTAAATTGAGAACTGTATTATTTTACAGTGACAGGGGGGAAAGCAGACTTTTAAGCATGATTATATTAGTCTACTAAACCTTATATCCGTTTAAAATAAAACCAAGGAAAGGAATTCTGAAAGTTTAAATATGTAAAAACTGAATACATTTTTTTGAAAAGTGATTTAAATCACTGATTTTTATTTTAAAAATCAAATTGATTAAAAATTTTTTAAAAATCAACTGATTTAAATCAACCCAGCTCTGATTTCAATTATGGAAAAAAAAGTAAATTGAATACTGTATTATTTTACAGTGAAAGGGGGGAAATCAGACTTTTAAGCATGATTATATTAGTCTACTGAACCTTATATCTGTTGTATGAAACCAAGGAAAGGAATTCTGAATGTTGATATGTGTAAAAACCGAATAAAAATAATTTTAAAAAAAACTGATTTAAATCACTGATTTTTATCAAAAAAATCAAGTTGATTTAAATTTTAAAAAATCAACTGATTTAAATCAACCCAACCCTGCCTTCCACGGATGACAGAGTGTAGGTTGGTAAAGCTCGACAACAAGACATGTTTGCTACAACCTACACTCTGTGTCATTGGTGGAGAGCGCAGAGAGCTAAATATATGTGCATGGGATAGAGCGCTGTAGAAATACAATCATCTATCATTGTTCACTGGGAAACTCAATAAATACAATCATCTATCATTGTTCACTGGGAAACTCAATAAATACAATCATCTATCATTGTTCACTGGGAAACCCAGTTTCTACTTACCCTTTCAAGCCTACTCTTCAAAATATCTGTGATCTGAGCCGACGTGTAGGGGGCAAAGTTCATGAGATCAGGGCAGCATTTCTCGGAAGCCTGAAGCCTAGGCAGAACTCTGTCCGTGAGATCCAGAGCATTGGCCACTCCTGCACAGACAAGATGCTGGTTTTACACATTTTGTCTTTAGTAAGAGTTTTACGGCACTTGCAATGCAATAAGGTTATATAAGTGCCGAAGATTAGAGGTGTTTCAAGAGAGTAACAAACACAAAAAAGAAGGAAGGGAGAAAAAGACGATAGATGTTTGACAGGAAAGAAGAAGCGAACCACAGCGGGGCACAAGATGGTTGTACAGCATCTTACAGGCAGAGACAAGGACAACATTTCTCTTGTCTCCATCAACAGAACTTACACGGCATGTTTTAGTACTGCCGCTACCGTCCCGCTGTAAACTACAATGTCCTCTGTCCGCCTGTAAACTACAATGTCCTATGTCCCACTGTAAACTACAATGTCCTATGTCCGCCTGTAAACTACAATGTCCTATGTCCCACTGTAAACTACAATGTCCTATGTCCCACTGTAAACTACAATGTCCTATGTCCCACTGTAAACTACAATGTCCTATGTCCCACTGTAAACTACAATGTCCTATGTCCCACTGTAAACTACAATGTCCTATGTCCAGCTGTAAACTACAATGTCCTATGTCCGCCTGTAAACTACAATGTCCTATGTCCCACTGTAAACTACAATGTCCTATGTCCCACTGTAAACTACAATGTCCTATGTCCCACTGTAAACTACAATGTCCTATGTCCAGCTGTAAACTACAATGTCCCGCAGTAAACCGTCCACGCACCAATGAGGATAAGCCGGGACTTGTCCAGCGCGGGCCACTCAAAGATCCGGTATAACACGTGGTGATGTTTACTGTCCAGTTGGTCAATCTCATCCAGCACCAGGACCCTGCACATGGAACAACAAAACTGAATAAACACAAAATAGATAAATAAAAACAAAACTGAATAAACACAAAATAGATAAATAAAAACAAAACTGAATAAACACAAAACTCAACAAATAAACACACACACACAATCAGCAGATCCAGGGTTTCCAGCATGTTGCCACAGGAAGTTACAACAGTTCAAACTTGTCAAAATCATAAAATGGAAGAAACAGACATTACTTTTGTTTTTTAGCTCAACATCTTTTATGTCCATATAAAAACATTTTGATGTAAATTCGACTGAAAAACGTTTACAGAAGGCACAAAATATGTAAATCTTCAGTTTTCAATGACTCTCAAGCTCTTGAAGTTACCAAAGTTAGGCGGCCATTTTCTCGCTAATTCTATAACTGAAACCAGGCGACCCTACCTCCGTCAATCACAAACATCTCAGCTTCTGTTTCAGACAGATGAGAATTTATTTTTTCCACAGAAAACAAGACAAATGAAAAAGCTTTCAGGTGATAGCCACAACAACATACGCCCAAAACTTGACCAGCGCCTCATTCCACAACGCCACAAATACCTCTAAGAGTCACGGCTTTGCCGCCACAAGAACCCTGTACGTTCTAGCAGCCTGACACGACACACGACTAAAGGATCGAGGTGGAACTGTTTTCTTACACACTGCCAGTGGTCGCAAACACTTTCTCCACGGCCTTCACTGAGTCTTTCCCCTTGTACGTTTTGCCCGTCAGTTGTTCGTACAGCTTGCCGAAGACGCCGTTGGAATCTTTCAAGGTCATACAGTTCACATACGCCGTCTCTAAGTTGCCGTACTCATTCTGTGCCAGAGAAACAACAACATCATCATCATCAAGTGTCAGAGAAACAACATCATCATCAAGTGACAGAGAAACAACATCATCATCAAGTGTCAGACAAACAACATCATCATCATCAAGTGTCAGACAAACAACATCATCATCATCAAGTGACAGAGAAACAACATCATCATCATCAAGTGACAGAGAAACAACATCATCATCATCAAGTGCTAGACAAACAACAACATCATCATCATCAAGTGTCAGAGAAACAACATCATCATCATCAAGTGTCAGAGAAACATCATCATCATCATCAAGTGCCAGAGAAACATCATCATCATCATCAAGTGACAGAGAAACATCATCATCATCAAGTGTCAGAGAAACATCATCATCATCAAGTGTCAGAGAAACATCATCATCATCATCAAGTGCCAGAGAAACATCATCATCATCAAGTGTTGTGCAAAGTTTCTGTCGGACAATAAATTATTCGATCAAGGCTCAGATTTTCCAGCCGCGGCAACAATCGGAAGATAGACAGAACGAGTGAATGAAAGAAAGAAAGAAATTGGCACAAAACGTTCGCTGTATTGGATAGCCAGATTTTGATCCATTCGGAGGTTAAAAATATATCGCCGACCAAGCCGCCGTGAATGCATAGTGGGACAATGGCCGATTGCAGGAAATGCGCAATCAGGCAGGTCTCTATAACAATAAATTATTGTCGAGAGAAGTACCGTAAAGATTCGTAACGTACAAGACAATACGAAGGCAAGTACGCATCCTCCGCCACAGATTTTCAGTAACCCTACGCTGTCGCGCTTTTTAACAGATGGAGTTGATCATGTCTGGGGAGCAATTACACAACTGTCAGAAAGTACGGATGTCCCTCACACTAGGGAAGGCTGGAAGCAGTGACAGAGAAAGGCAAGAACTGACCTTGAGTTTGTCCACCACGTGCTGAACCACGGCCGTTTTGCCCGTCCCCGGGGCACCCGACACGTACAGACTGCCACTCGTCCCCGCATCAACGCGCTCAGAGATGAACTCTTCCACTTTCTCTTCTTCTTTCTCTCGGCCGACCAGACGAGCGGGTTTGGCAGTGTGCAGGCAACGTTTGGTCGTCTGGTACATGCGCGCTGAAAACAACAACATGCTAAATATAGAACAAAAAATACTGGTCACGCACGGCATACGTTATCTCACGACAAACCTCGGACAGGGAATCACGGGGACAAATAGACACTACCACAAACCTCGGACAGGGAATCACGGGGACAAATAGACACTACAACATACCTAGGACAGGGAATCACGGGGACAAATAGACACTACAACATACCTAGGACAGGGAATCACGGGGACAAATAGACACAACATACCCAGGACAGGGAATCACGGGGACAAATAGACACTACAACATACCTAGGACAGGGAATCACGGGGACAAATAGACACTACAACATACCTAGGACAGGGAATCACGGGGACAAATAGACACTACCACAAACCTCGGACAATGCTGGCAGCTGGGGTTAGAATGGGATTTCCACCTCAGGCAGTCAATGAGTAATTGGCTGCTTGCATTGTATGCTTCCCAGAAAGCTGGGAATGTTTCTGAGTATTCTATGGTGTGTTGGGGCCACTACAGTCAAACCTGTGTAAGACGGCCACCCATTGTCAAGGAGAAAAGTGGCCGTATAAGACAGGTGGCCGTCTTAGGCACGACTGATCAAGATGAAGAAAACAAACCATTCCCATCTGAGGCCCCAATCGAAAGTAGCCGCATTGTTGTTGCTTTTGTTGTTGTTGTTGCTGTTGGTTTGTATTTTGTTTGTCATTTTTATTTTGTTGCTGATTTTGCACAATGGTGACAATAAAACGAAATGTGTCAGATATGGAAGAAATCGAGTGCAATGTTGAAACAAACACATGGGTCGCAATTACTCGCAGAACGAGCGACGCTTCTGTCCACAAGTTCATGTTGACGTCCATAGTTACTTTATTACAGACTAGGTAAACAGTGACCACTCATCTCACTTACGATTTGTGTATGAGTTCTGGGCGGGGCTTATGGGTTATGAGGGATCACACCTCACCAGCAGCTGAAAATTGGTAGGCTTTGGTCAACAGTGGGAGGGGCCTACGCAACATGATCGGTTGGAGGGACTACCTAACAACAACGACAGGTGATTGGATTATGACGGCTTGCCCACAACGCCAGGGGTCAATGCACAATTTATGACAAAACATAATGGAGTCTCTAAGGTGGCCGTCTAAGACATGTGTTATTGTTTGGTGTGATAGGGGTTGTGTGTTAAAATATGGTGGCCGCGGCCGCGTTGTACAGGTGCCCGTATTACACAGTTAAATAATATAGAAAAAAACGCCAGGGGGGAATGGAAAGTGGCCGTTTGTACAGGTGGCCGTCAAGGCAGGTTTGACTGTAGTTGTGAAGCATACAATATGTTGAAGTGTTATGTGCTGAAGAAATGCACATTTTATCATCATTTTTATCAGTCTCCACAACTTGGCGGCTGATCTTACCATTGGATTTCTGTAGGGGAGACGATCTAACGGGTGACTTCGGGGGAGATTGAAACAATCGTCTGCTGGGTGACTTCGGGGGAGATTGAAACAATCGACTGGCGGCTGACTTCTGGGGCGATACCTCGGACACGTCATTACCGCCCGACTTTTCCGGAGAGCTGAACAACCTTCTGGGCGTGGAGTTGGCAACTGAAAAGACAACAATAGAGAGATATCAGAGGTGAGCTTCCCTGCCATGAGAGAGACAAACGGCACTGAGCTGACAGGTACAGGCACCAATCTGAAGGCAATGACAAACGTCTCCCTGGTACAAAGATATTTACTAAAGACAGACACCAGCATCATTCTCCAGCAAGAAACTGACCAACACCTCCAGGTAGACAGGTAACTAGAAAGTGACCAACACCTCCAGGTAGACAGTTAACTAGAAACTGACCAACACCTCCAGGTAGACAGTTAACTAGAAACTGACCAACACCTCCAGGTAGACAGTTAACTAGAAACTGACCAACACC